TTGGAAACAACATTTTGACAATGGAAGAGACATTGTCAAAAAAATCTGACAATGAAGGATTCCAATTCTACGGGAGCCATGCTCCCGTAAATGGGTGATAAATATTTTAAAAGTGAGTTGATATATACTGTGATGAGCAAAGGGGAAAAATAGCAAACAGCACACAATTTGGCATCTTGATTGATTTTTAGGTACCGCTGGAAAACCCTTGAGCTGTATAATCGACTTTCTTTGTTCTCCAAGATTGGCATCATTATTCTGAATTTCATAATTCTCCCCAATACAAAACTTGCTTCAGGAGTGCGGCATTTGGAGTATTGCAATGAAACATTTGGATCATGACAGTGGAGCTGGGTGTTATAGCTAACGATTATGTTTTACTCTGTAATGGGGGCAATTAGAGCCTACAGCTTCAAAGTGGAATCCAGGAAAACATGATTATTCAGGTGGAAAAAACTATTGAATGGAAGCTGATTTTGCACGTATGGAAAAGAAAAATGGTTTGTGGCTAGTTTATCATCATGAAACCCAGAAAGTACCAGATAAGTCTGCCAGTCTAGCTTAGGCATTTTTGATATACATAATCGCTGTAGGACCTGGTGTCTGAGATGCTACACAAAATGCCTTTAAAGATAAACAGCTGGGCTGCAAGAGCTATCGGTGACAGACCTCCTCTGAATGTTGCTGCCTCTCAAAACTCTCAGTATGAAAATGTACCACACTGGTGACTGGAAGGTTTGAGTCTGTCCATAGCTAATGGTTCCTATAAGCTTCCAGTTCAAGTTATAATGGGTCATGTTTTAAGATGCAGAAATATAAGAGAAAGGAGAAAGAAATAGAAGTGCAGGGGAAAGCAGTTTAACTCAAAGTACTAGTTACGAGGCAGCCACATAATCTTTGGATTTGGGCTGCTTTTTGGGGTGTGTTTTGGCTAGTCCACTGAAACTACTGGGAGTTTTTCCACTTCTTACAGTAAGCCTAAGATGGGAAATCTCAGCTACCACCGGCTCTGAAGTACATCAATTTGGGTGAAATAGAGGCCAGCTTGTTCCATGCTTCCTGCACTATACAAGAACGAGCAGTTACAAATTGCATCACATGGCAGGAAAAGGTGGGTAGCTTATGCCAAAATGATGGTATTACCATGTGGTCCCTCTAGCTGGTACAGTGCTGGGCTGTGATCAGTCTTCATGCAATCCTCAAAAGATGGAATGCCCAAGAGAAAAGACACCGGGGCAGTAGAAACCACTTCCAATTGCATGATCCTCTATACAGCAAGCATTTAGAGAGGACTGGAGCAGAGTATTATTTAAAGACCAAGAGATTTTCCAGACGTACAGGTAAATAAACCTAGTCTGCTTGCTGCATTGGGGAAGGATGGAGACTGTGCAGCTATGTGTCTTGGAGCTGTTGGGTCAGCAGAGGTACAGTGGCCTGTCATTTGAACCGGCAGTGCCATTGTTTCTTCTCCAGTGTCCAGGTTTGCAGGGGTCTCTCTACACACAGACATCTCTGCACACACTTTTTTTTTTGTCCATTTGTGCCCAGTCCTGCCAGGGGCTAAGTGTCTGCATCTTCCACTTATTTCAGTGGGAGTCCAGGACACTCCAGCTCCTTACAAAGCAGTGCTAAAAACCTCATGCAATTGGATCTTTACAGGACAATAGACACCCCTGTGTTTCTATCTAACACCTGCCTGTCATCTACGTCCTACCTCTCTGCGGTAGAGAGAAGGCCCCTTCAAAATATAGCTGACAAAACAGAAAAAACAGACATGTATTTATACTTAATTATTCATCCCAGATTTCCATAGCAACCTCCACAGGAACCTCATGGGAGAAAGCGTGAATGTAAGGGACAATGCCTACCAATTCTGTACCTCCACATGTATATACTGCAGCACACTTAACGTCAGCCTCTCTCTTTGGGAGGAAACATTGCCTGGCACTCCCAGAAAGGGAACGGAGGTAGAGACCCTAACGTATGGCCCAGAAGAGACCGTTAGCAACCTCAGCTGGAGCAGTTTCAATGCGGGGGAAGAGGGTTGAAGTCAACTTGGAGGGGAACCATGCTGGAGTGGAAGATGAGGCACAAGTGATGCATTAGATGAGTTTGGAGGCAAAGCCACTACAACCTGTGTAACACACAGCATATTCTGTGTAACACGTGCATATTCTGTCATGTGAAGGTAGGTTGCACATTGCTTCTGCCTCACTGAGTCCTTCAGTGATCTGTACAATTTCCTGTAAACCCAGTCCCCAGGGAAGTCAGTACAGGTGTGTGGTCCTACTGCCCCGGTAATAGCGGATGCACTTAGCAACCTTTAAGGGTTAATTTTTATAGCTGGGTTTCTGTTCTGTCGGTATTTATGATCATCTGCTTGTTTCCCCCACTTGGAGAGCTGTGCACCATTTATTATGCGTGTCCACGGGGTTAACCCCAGCGTGGGGATCTCATTATTACACGTTCTCAGAGCAATTATTTTATTTCTAGGGGAAACAGAAGCTATTTTAACCAAACAGGAAAACCTTAACAGACATCTGGAAGTGAGAGGAAAGAGCCTATTGCTTGCTTCCCCCTTGGTCCAAACACTGATGCTCTTTCCTGTTTAATTCACCCCCTTAGGAAAAGGATGGTTTCTATGTACAGAACTTACAGGTGTAAGTGCTATCCCATCCATTAAGGAAATCAGAAAGGTTACAGTGTGGCAGGTTAATGGTACGGCTGAACTTGGATGCACAGCACACAGAGGCAGCTTTTGCTGCTCTAGGCAACGCTCCTGTTGGCAGCTGCCTGCTGCCCTTTACTGACCCCATTCCACCCAGATGTGCCTGCGCTGGGACCAGTGATGTTTCCTGCTCCCAGAAAGGGAATGGTGGTAGAGACCCTAATGTATGGCCCAGAAGAGATTCTTAGAAACCTCAATGGGAGCAGTTTCACCAGCCCTTCACCCCAGCACAGCCGTTCATAGATTACTACAAAGCCAGAAGGGCCATTTTCCACCATGGAGACTCCCTGCTGTGTTCTGCATGTGGATTGGGAACGCAGGGTCAGCTCTTGTGTGTGCCTTAATATTCAGGTCAGAGAGTATATCTACAACACAGGGTGAAGAGGTGCACAAGCCAGGTTTAAATGAGCTACTTTGGGCACTGGAAGCACCTAGCCAGGGTGGCATGGTGCTCCACATGTCCTAATTCAATCAGCATCTCAGCCCATGCAGAGCTCTAAGCTACTTTCAGTACCTAAAAGCTGCCTTATTTAGAGAGCTAGCTTGGGTGTCTCCACACTGCACTGTACCCTTCAGTGTTGATCTATCTATGGAAACCATTTCCTGGGATATGCTGCCAGGCTCCGGAATGGGCTCTCTAGGGAGATGGTGCTCTCCCCTACCTTGGGGGTCTTCAAGAGGAGGTTGGATAGATATCTGGCTGGGGTCTTATGATCCCAGCACTTGTTCCTGCCCAGGGCAGGGGGTCGGACTTGATGATCTGTTCGGGTCTCTTCTGACCCTAGAAACTATGAAACTATGAAGAGCAGAACCCTGGTTCCCAGCCAAGACCTCCATTGTTTGGCTCAAAGCATCTTTTTGTTGTGTAGCATGTACACATTTCGGGGCGTGGGTGAATACATAACGCAAGACGGGGTGGTCAAGGATTTTTTGCCAGGTGGTATGGTAGGTCAGAGCTTCACCTGGTGTGAAGTGGCACAGTCCTGGTGGCCCTCATGAAATGGCATACATTTTCAGCAGAGAGAGATCTGTTCCTGTATAACCAGCTAATTATACTCTCCCTTTCCCACCCTCACTCAACAAAAGTGATTTTTAAAACTATTTTGGGTCCACCAATAGCCTTTGTGTGTTCTGTTTTCTCAACAGAGCAGGAAAAGTCTAAGCTGGGTGAATGGGATAGGAAAGCCAAAGCTTTGTGTTTCTACAAATCCACAGAGCAATGAGCTATTATTTCAAACAAAAGGTGCTGCATTCAAGTAAAGTCATAGCCATTTTGTGGACCTGCTGCTTAGAGGTCTCTGAGAAAAGGTGCCTTCGGAATTATGTCTCTCTTCTATTGTCCTTTTTTAATCATATTATGTGGATTTTATTACCAAGGTAACAGTCCCACATGCCAGATTGCATGGCATTTACCAAGACAATACCACTATTCAGAAAATAATGCCTGGCTTCTATTATTCTTGCTCTCAGGTACAGGGATAGGAGCCTTTATGGAAAGCTGTTAAGGGAGATGCTGCTACTAATGTAACACGCTCTCTTTGTGATCACCCAAATGAAACCTGGTAGCCCCAAAACCCTGCTGCTGACACACAACAAAACTTTTGCTTGGGCTGTGGTCATTTCCCAGCCAGACAGAGCAAAGGAAGCAGAGGGTAAACATTCAGGCATCCGACTCTATGAGATGACAGTGCTTCATTTCAAAGCTGCCTAAGGGTTTCTAATGGGGAATGAGTAGCTACGTGCTTAAGGCAGCTTGCCAAGTCTCAACCTGGATGGATAGAAAACCTTGGAGATGAAGAAAGCTCTGAAATGCAGTGACAAAGTGATTTGTCAAAATGTACACAGAAAGAAAAACTCATGACCTAGCCACAAGACCATCTCTCCTCTCTTAACCAGACCAATGGGAAATGTAGGTAAAGAAGGTGGACACTAGTGACAGCTAGGCTTGTGAATGCATACGCACACTGCAGGGACATAAGGAGAGAAACTTAAGTACATGTCATCTCCAAACCCAGCTAGTACATTTTACTCTTGCCTGATAATTCTGGCAAGGATGCCAAGAATACAGCTTTCATACCCCAAAATGGAAAATGTTTATCTTGTGCTGAAAATCCTCAATCCTATTGACCATCAACTTCTTGAAACCCCCAATCCCTTCTCCTGATTACAGGAGTTATAACAGGAGTCTTAATTGATGCTGCATGCCACATGGCAGTTAAATACAGGCAGCCCTTGATTTTACGACGTTCAAATTATGACAAATGGTACTTACGACACACTGTTTTGACTTTCTGACGTAGGTTTCGACTTCATGACGCTCGATCCGACACAACGCCACGCCAGTGAACAAGTTCGCTGTGCCGCCCATCTCCCTGCGCCGATCCACCGTGCAAAAAGCCCTTCAAAAAGTCCAGCAAAGTCACTTCAAAGAAGTCCTTCCAAATCAATACAATTGCTATTTACAATATAAATACATGAATGTAGCTATATTACTCGTCTATAATTGATTGAGTACAAAATTCTGGGGTATTTTTGGTGAAAATAGGGTATTGGGCCTTGGTTCAGGAATCAATCCCCCATTTATAACATTGTTCCTATGGGAAAACTGGTTCTGAGTTACAACGTTTCAACTTAAGATACGGTTTTCAGGAACCAGTTGGTTCGTAAGTCTGAGGGCCGCCTGTATCTGCTTAGACCCCAGGATGCTTTGAAGGAGGGATCCCAGTGTGAACACATTATACAGAGCTAAGCAACCTTTAACAGTAAGATGAATAAGTGAGGACTCATAGAGAGGCTTATACTATTCTCATAGGCTCATGAATCTGCTACTGGTCTCCATAAATGGATACTGGGCCAGATCCCAGCTTGGTATAAATTGACATTGCTCCATTGACTAGAATGGACTCCGCCCTTTTACACTATTGGAGCCATTGGCCTTTATTGCTTTAGCTGACGAATAGTGGAAGTGGAAGTGCCTGCTTTTAGTTTGTACAAGTCTCAGATTCAAAACCTACTAAAATCCCATGCAGGACAGGGTATAATCACTTCATTCTCTTGCCTAGTAGGATTGTGGGTTTGGTTATTCTTTGAGCTAGTTTTGGTGGGCAGAAGACTAAACCTTTTGGGCCTGTTTCTAGTTGGTTTTATTCTGGCATAGACGTCACAGAAGCATAGAAAATTAGGACTGGAGGTCATCTAGTCTGACATCCTGCTCAAAGCAGGACCATCCCCAACTAAATCATCCCAGCCAAGGTTTTATCTACCCGGGTCTTAAAAACCTCTAAAGATGGAGATTCTACAACTTCTCTGGGTAACCTGTTCCAGTGCTTTCCTACCCTCCTAGTGAGGACGTTTTTCCTAATATCCAACCTATACTTCCCTTGCTACAACTTGAGCCCATTGCTCCTTGTTCTGACACCTGCCACCACTGAAACCAGTCTAGCTCCATCCTCTTCTGAACCCCGCTTCAGGTAGTCAAAGGCTGTTACTAAATCCCCCCTCGGTCTTCCCTTTTCCATACTAAATACGCCCAGTTCCCTCACTTCACTGTTGTTATTTACTCCTACGGTATCATTAGAATCAGACCCATTGTAGTATGTTGTATGATACTATTGAAGTTATGCAGATTATTTAATGAACCTACTTACTCCAGTGCAAATGTATGCAACTTGAGTATTCACAGTGACCTCATTGTATCCACAGACAGTTTTACATTCCACTTAAGCATAAGCCATTGGCCTCATTTGAACAACTATTTTTTTGGCTGGGATTACAAGGATAATACTCATCAGAAATCCATAGTTTACTGCAATTCTTAAAACATTTTGGTGTATTTTACATTTAAATAGAATTGAAGCCTCCTTGAAAAAAAATGTATTCCAGTTGCCTTTGTGTGCTGATGATTAAAGAACGTGGTTCAATTTTTTCCCTTTCTCATTCTTAGCTGTGTCTCATTAGACTAGCTTTTTATTGCTTTTCATATCCATCATGATTTGTGTCAGCAGAATGGTTATATAGATGGACAGCTTATTATCAGCTTTAAGCGAAGAAACAGAACACAAGAGTGGTTGCTAAGAAAAGGGAAAGGTAATTAACGCTGGCACTGGAATATAAATGAAGCTTGACATTTTCACTTTGTGAGTCCAAATTAACCCCTGTCTTAATGTTATAGCATGCAAGAGACAATATTATGCTTTTGCTTGCTTCTTTTCTCATCCACCGATTCCGAGTTTCTCCTGATATAAAATGACACAGCAAGTCTACGCCTGTTTTGGCGTGGTCTCCTGTTGTGATGACATCAAGTGGAAATGGGGGAACATGCATAAAAGATGTTTCATTTCTAATGGGCTACAGACCCAGGGATCTCACAATTCATGAATTGTGCCTACAGGGTAATTGCGTGTCTCAGAATCATTATAGGCAAGCAAAAATTGAACACACGCACAACCATGTGCAGCCACATTTGCAAATTTGGCCCGTGTAGTCCTAGGGGCTCAGGTGACCATGTATTTTTTTTATCCCAGATTGCCAGGCAATATCCCTGTGAATCACATTTGTTTGTATCAAAGTTCCTGAATCAGATCCAGGAACAACAGATGCAGAGGATGTTTGAAATGGGCATTTAAACACAGCCATTTCAGGACCATCCCTGATGCATGTTTTACCAGCCTCTGTTTCCCACCCACTCTGATTCATAATTGGTCACTTCTCAGTAGGAGCCCAGGCATGGTCTTACTGGAGAAAAACTTTCCCAGTTGAATCCTTCATGAACACAGAGGTACAGACAGTCACAAGGAGCAGTTCTCAGCCGTGGCACAAGTGGCAGGTGTCTTATAACCTCCCAGCCTTTCAGTTCACAGGCCATATAGACTGATATAGGGGGCAACCCCAAGAGTGATCCTCAGCCATGCTGAGCCATGTGACCTGACCCTCCCTTTGCATCTTACCTTGTGATCCGTATTGTTGTGCTTCTTGCTTCTCAACTTGAGCCCTTCTAGGAATCTGTGGACAACTTGTCTCTCCATCTAGGCTTCCTCCTGCAAAACAGGAAATTAAATATAGAAGGCCTGGAGGTCAAGAACAAGAAATTGTGGGATTATGGCTGGCGGGCTTTCTGTGCTGGAGGCTGAGGTCGGGGGTGAATTCTGAACACATTGCAAAAAGGGGCAGGCTAGGGAAGAAGTAGAAATGGGGAAAGGCCTCATACCCCAACATTCACTGGGGCTCCCAGGGGTGAGCTGAACCATACTTAGGAGGTAAATTTAAGGTTTTTTAGTGTAGATGGTCAACACGTATGGACTTAAGGATATTCTCATGGTTGACCCCAATTAGCAGTATCCTATAGGCACACTGTCCTGGTGCCCTGTAATCTACTCCTGCTGATGTCACTGGGAGGAATTCATCATTCAAGCATAGCATGTAGTCCAGTGGCTATTTTATAATAGTCACGGCTGTCAATGGGGCACAAGGGAAAACCAAAGCCTGGCAAAAGCTGGGCTTGACTGAGAATAGGCATCAGAAATTCGCCACTCATACTGGTGAGTTTTCTTCTTCTACTTCTTGCCAGCTGTATCCTTTCACTATTGCAGGTTGGAAGTGGGAAGAGTCATGATCTATAAAATACAGGTTTTAATTAACTTAGTGTAAGGAGTGACAGTGATAGGTGGTCTGGAAACAGCTGCTGTAGAGGCAGCACCAGAAGGAAAAGGGACGGACATTTTTACCCAGTTTTTTTTCTCCCGAGTGATCCAAGGGATTCTTCGTCCTCAAATATGTCATGAAACCTTATTCTCAACAATGACTATTTTCTTCCTCTTACTGGACCTCTTAGCTTTGGGAGCATATTCTATTCCCATTAGAGGAATCTGAGGTTTGCTAAAATGTGTGTGTTGTCTGAACAGGATTTTGCTGTGACTTACTGTAGAGATGGAGATTGCCAACATGTGGGGTTTTTTTGTATTTTGTGGTTTCTATCCATTGTTAGCGAGAGCCTGATCAGAGAACAAGGACCATTATTTGCTGGCACAAGTTAGAAAAAACTTGAGGCCAATTTGACCTTTGCCAGAGGCTAACTGAGGCTCCTGACAATACCCAGGATCAA